ACCCACGCCGTAATATGTACCTAACCCTGTACAGCATTAGGGAATCAGAGGCCCAATTTTATCGTCTAATGAACAAAAATATTCCGGGTAAAAATATGGAAGAGTTCATTCAAAGTTGTAATAGATAGTTTCAAAATATACAGGTATCACGTATGCCGTATACATTATCGGTTAAGAATTTCTCTTATTTTACAAAAAAAAAAAAAAACAAAAAAAAACACCAAATTATATGCAATTTCACTGTAGCAAATAGACTTTAATGACTCTGAATATGTTCGTGATTAGAACGCACTAATACCTTCATATGAACGTACTTACTTGTAGTGAAAGGAACTATGTGAGTATGAATGACATCAAAAGTAGTCAAGTCGATGGCCAAAGTACAAAACTATCTACCTCCATTTGCGACGTTGCAGACATCCTGTCATACTTTACTTCTTCTTTCGAAAGCTAGTCAACGTAATTTCTTCAAAAATTTCGTCGATTTTTCTCCTCTGTCAGCAGAGTATTGTGTTAAAATTTCAAGCTATAAAGTTTTATTGTTTCTCTTCGGAAAACTAAAATAAGAGCGGAATCAAAAAACACCGCAATACAGATACGTGGTTTCACATTGTTGCCATTGATGTAACACGCAAACAACGAGTGCATAGTTCCCTTGATTTCATATATTTCCACTCAGACTCTTTTAGCATATACGTCCAAGTGGAAGATGGATAGGGAACAAACTTAATCACCGAAGGAGTAGATGAGACTGGTTTAGAAGCTAAGCGCATGCAGAGAGGGTAAAAACCGTCTATTCGATGGTTGAAAAACGAAACCACGTATCTCTATTGAGGGGTTTCAAAATGTCTGCTCCAATTTTATTTTTTTGAAGAGAAACAAGCCAACTGTACAATTTGAAATTTCACAGAATATTCTGCTGAATGAGAGAAAAAATCAAGGAACATTTCGAGAAATCACGTTGACTAGTTTTCCAAGAAAACAATAAAGTATGACAGGAACTTTGCAACGTCACAAACGGAGATGTATGGTTTCGCACGTTGGCCATCGTATTGCTTTGCGTAATGAATGAATGAGTGAATAGAAAATTTAAAGGGGTAAACGCGGGAGTCTGCAATGGAGAATTTGCACGCAAATTTTTTATTGCTTCGTCTGAAAGTGCCTAAAGAGCTGAGTTTGCAGTATTTTTTATAATTTTTTTCGGCCATGGGAAATGGTATAAAAATAGATTTGAAAGTGAGAAAATGCGCCGCCTAGTGACGTCATCTGGCGTCATTTCCCATTTAAACGCATGTATTTCAGCAGACTAGATCATTTTGTCATATCTCCCTCAATAATTGTTCAATTTATGAACCAAGGATATCCTCGTGTTCAGCTCACTTGGTAGCGTCCATTCAAACATGGAATTCATCAAAATTCAGACACCTGCAAATTCTCCATTGCTTGAACAGTGTAGGCTATTCACAAATATCCCTCCGCACGGCACCTGAAATGCCAATACGTCGGAGGTAGTTTTAATAAAACACCGGCAAGTCTGCGCCGCGACTACCCCTTTCTCGGCGCAGAAAACCGGGCAATTAGCCGACAAGAGAAAAACACGCGAATCTGACCTACTTCCACTTTGTCTCTTCGCTTCTTCGGTTTTATCCCGCCGATCGAGGCTGCCAAACCCCCTGCGTGTAAATTTTTCAAGCAATCAAATGCGGGGTTGTGATTTTAATCTACCACTTGGCATCACAGCACACAACTCCCCATTTGAATATAAAAACTCACGACTGGCGTTTGTCCCGGAGTTTGGAAGTATCAGTGTTCTTTTTCCCAACCTACATTTTGACCGAGTTTTTATTACCGTTACAGCCATTATGAGGTCGGAACACCTGCACTTGCAAAAATTTCCATCTTATCAAATTGCGGAAAAATGAGATGTCGCAAAGTAGGAAAACCCATAACTCTGTATTGAAAGTAGTTTTCTAGGAATTGCGAATAAAAAACGGCTAAGAGTATGAATTCAATCCAATAAAACAAATATTTCAAGGTCTTCGTGTACATAGTCTTAATCGCATTCGGAAGAAGGTAAATACAAAATGACCAATAAGTGACTCAGCGGGGATTTTATCCAACTTTGTGAGATGATTGTATACATCGTCCTAAGCCTACGAAAACTAGAAAAATAGTTTATAATAAAAATAGAATTGATAGAGGCAAGATTTTGCAACGTTGAAAAGTAGTTACGTTTTTCCGTTTCAGTGCTACCATTTCTCGGAATTAATTCCGAAATTCGGAACTTTTCCCGGAATCTTTGGAATCTCCGAATTTTCAGTTATTTTCGAAATTTCCTCGAAATTTGCGGTTTTTCGCCAGTTTGACCGTTTATTTGATGAAATTTAGAGACTTTTTGATCAAATTTGACGATCTTCGGAACTAAGAGTTTCCCCCGAAATTTTTGAAAAAATCGGAATTTCTCTCGCAGCTTTGGCAAATCAGAATATGTTTCCGAAAATCGGAATTATTTCGGAATCTTTTGATAAAATAAAATGGCAGCACTGTCCCGTTTAGAAAAGAACGAACTTTCTAGTCATGTAAATAAAAACAAGAATAAATATTTGACTTGGAATACCGGTATGGCAAAGATCGGGGAACGTTGAAGTTGCTCGTGTTCTTGATAAAACTGCAAAGGCGGAAAATCAGGTTCGGAACATTATTGCCTCGAAGCGCGCCGTGGCGTAGCTTACGTTGAACGCCGCAGCGCGCCGCGTCGTGCCGCTGTATCGTTGAAAAAATATGAGGCGCTTCAATTTGCAAAGCTCCGGCCCGGCGTTGCGTAAGTCGAAGGATTTAAAACTTTAGGGCGCATCCACTATCTTAATCTTGCCACTGAGAAGCTTCGGGAATAATGCTGCACAAAAATTTCCTTCAAGATTAATGGTAATAAAAAGCGGATGGGGAACAACAAATTGGATATGTTGCGTGGAGATTAATGAAAGAAATTTCCGCCGTCTTCCCTCCTTCCCCGTTTCGTGGCGAGCTTTGCGATATATCGATTGATGTGCCATTTAAAGCTACGAAAGAGAATTGATATACTGGGTATTCACCCGAACAACCTAATAATCGATTCTTTGCCATAGCCTCAAATGGGAAAATTTCGATTATTGATCATTCACGCCTCGCCATTGCTGAAGTGGCTCTTGCTCGTTGCCCGATTAGTTTCCTTTTATTTTAAGCAAAATTTATCTATTTTTATTTCATTACCTTCTGGGAGGAGCAGAATAATTTTTTGAGAGAAGCTCTTTCGATAAATTCAAGTGTTTTATTCTGAGTTGAGAATCGAAAAGAAAGTATATTTTACTTTTTTGAGAGTGCAGATTATTCTCCGCCTTTTAATGGAATAACTATTTATCATAAAAATAGGCTTTCAATGAAATTGATGAGTTACACTTATGACTTTCATGCACGATAAAAACGAAAATTCATGAATTTTAAATACTTGCATAAGATAAAGAAAATGCTTAATTTTAGAGGAGGATAAATTCTACGTCCATTTTAATTTGAAGAAGTACATCTAGAAAACGGGAAATTGAACATTTTAAACAAATTGATAAAGTGTATTTTCTCATCTACTGCAAGTCTTTCCATATATTTTTGTTTAAAATGCAGTATAATCACTTAGTAACTTCACTCCCAACGCATTTCCATAAATGTATTTGGAAAGCGTCTCAAGACCAAGTTACTTGCAAAAGACAAGATTAACCCACGTCAAGAAATTCATTTCAATTTTCATTCATCATTTCATTTTCATTTTTTTTTAAATTCATTTTTGACTGAAATTGGATGAAATTGACGAACGAGGGGTTTGAACGAGGAACAAAATTCATCAAACCGAGAAGACCAGGTTATTATCAAAATCCCTATTTCGGTCATATTCCTAGTGATGCAAAATAGAGGAGTGGTGTGTATATCTGCACTCGAATTTCAGGAAGGGACCCGTCCTGGGAAAGGCGTACTCAAAATACTTAAACTGGCTCTTGCCTAAGTTCGCTTAGTTTAGTATGTGCATAATTGATTGGTAGAAGAATCTTGACAGTCTTTCAAACCGAAACAAATAGACGCAAAGATTTCGAGAACCGCTAACGATGTAATACATTTAACCAATCGATTAATTTTACGGAAAATTGGCTATGTTGCGATACAAATTAGAAATAATTTACTTCATCCAAAAGAGGCAACTCTGGAAATAATTCAAGCTCAAGTCATCACAGGTACCACACGCGACAAATACTTACGACTTTAATTTTACTTTACGCATCAGTAACGTCTGGATATGGGCTACATCGCTGCCCATGTTGCATACGCACAGAAGTGAAGGGGTTTTTTCGCCGCGCCTCGGGAAAGATTCATTTCTTTCCTGAAAGCTTGAGAAAATGTACGCGATTATCATATCTGTATCGCGGCATGGACGCGATTCATCCATCAGTTTTGTAAAAACATAAAAATTACGCATTTTAACCAAAAATACTGTAGAATTCATAAACGTTGGTATTTCTAGACACATGAAAACATACGATTTTCCTTCATTTTTACATGATACCCCATCACATTCCTCTTCCAACGTCTGAATCGTTGCGCGTTTCAGTTCTGCAATCAATGATGATGCCTTTCTTAATAAACGTCACTAATTTGAGACAGTTAAAAAGCGAGGATTATCCTTCTTTTTCGCGTGATACCACATCACATACCTACTCTGGAATCGGTATAGTTACGCATTTGTATCCGGATTTAACCTTGAGTTATTCTGATAAAAAGAGCTTTCATTCAATATGAAACATTAATGGTATGTGTTAAATACTAGAACAAACCAGCTGTTTCAGTGTATGGAAATTCAGTTTTAAAGATGCATACTATACATTTTTTATCAATCGCATAGGTACGAAATGAAATAGGTGAATATTTTTCTCCACATATCACTGCATGGTTGCATGTAAATGAGCATTTCATACAACGAGTCCTCTTTAAAAATGCATGTTTTATTTCTAAGGTTTCGAAGTATTCAGATCGATTTTCTGCAACAAATTAAAAAAAAATATGATTGTTATCAAGCTCGCTTGACTCAAGGTGGCCACCTGGAAGTTAAGTTTTGGGTATGCACTAATAGTATATTATGAAATTCGTAATATTTCACCAGCCCCATTTTAATGAAATTCCTGAAAGTCTCTGACTGAGATAGAGATATTTTCCTGGACATGGCGTGAAACAGTATTCCGTCGTCAATGAACCTTTTCCTCTGCTGCTAAGGTCCGCTCAAATTTTTCTCTGAAACATTCAGAATGAAATGGACTTTCAAACTACCGAACCACATTAGACGTTGCCTAATTTCCTTTAATGTTTTATTTTTTAAGCAGGAAAGTATGCATAATTCTGACTTTTTTAGTTTGTGAATAGGTACATTCTTCTTAGGCCAACGAAAAATGTACAGAAAGTTCAAGGAATTATGTTCTTCAATTCTCTCTATTAAAAGCGCAGGAATATATATCCCCTCAGGGGTAAGGGAAGTGTTAAAATAAATACTTCATAAATAAATAATGCAAATAAAAAATTAAGAGGAAATTATTCAACGTGAAGGGGCCATCCCACGCGAAATCATTTAGGGACTGTTGCTCGAGCAACCGTATAATTTGTATATGTTTTTGTATGTATTCTTGTTATTTGTTTATCTACCTAATTGATGCACACAAAGCATTTTTGCAAAATGTTTGAACATATCTGTCATTTGTAGTAGCCCCTTGAAGGTTACATGTTCATCCGGTTGATTACTCCGTGTTACGGAAAAACGCCGTCTGAGCCTTCAGACTTTGCCAAATTTCCTTTTATAAAAAGCAAATTTGCTGAGAAAATCATCTACGTTTTTCTTTCAATTTTTCAGATAATTGTTTTCGAAATTGGATCTAAAATACCTGAAAATTTCAAAGAAAAATATGCATAACTTTCTCTCAAAATACCGTTATTTCATGGAAAATTTCGCAATATTCGAATGATCATACGGCGTTTTTCCTACGGCAAAAAGTTTCCATACGGCAATATATGGTTCCGGAAAGATTTATGTCCGATCATCGTGCCCTCTTCATGTTTTAAGATGTTTGCGTTACGCGATGCTATCTCACCACTCAAGGGTAACATTTTTAGAGGTTTATGCTTGAAAACGATGAGAAAATACTATCTCTATCTATAGTCTTGAGGAGAAAGTAAAAAAATCAATCAAGTCAAGGAATCCGGCAAGTATGCACGTCCGGTCCCAGGTAATCCCTCCATTTCTTCCCGTTATTTCATTTCCCTTTATGCTCAGTAGATCTTATCATATTATTTGTATATCCTTCCGCATCCGCTCGGAAAATAAACCACCTCATTCCGCGCGGGACTATTGACTCTGAAAATGTCATTATTGTATTACATATTAACGTATTCGTTTGAAATCACCACTGCATGACATTATAAAACATGGCGTACCTCAGACATTTTCAATGATTAGAAATATTCATCGAGAAATAATCGATTGTCGCTGTAAAAATGAAGGAGTCAGGTCCGAGAAAAATCGTATTTGGCGCTCTTACTTACTCCTAATACTCTTGCTCTTGACAGAGGCGGATCCAGCAATTTGGCAACATCGAATTCCCTCCATTTAAACCTATGCTAAATAATCGATTCTTGTCGGAGCACCTGGCCACTTCAAGAAGCGATATATTTCCATAGGTTTCAATGGAGGAAATCCGGTGTTGCCAAATTTCTAGATCCGCCAATGGCTCTTGATAAAGCAAGAAGTGGCATCGTTTAAAAGACACCCATAACAGTTCGTTGCTTCCCTCACCAATAAACGTAACTACATTTCGGTGTTGCCAAATTTACTCTCGCAAATTGGATTTTCACCCAGAGAATCTCGGGCATTTGTACGTGAAAATTTCACTGATTTGAATTGTCATCTGCTGCAAAAATCACGAATTGCACCGGTACATTCTCGTTAAAAATTGAATTGTTCGAGTCAATTTTGCAACATTGAAATGGAGTTACGTTCTTTCACGTGGAACTTGATTCAGATAACGAAAATTGCATGAAGTAACTCCCAAGTAATGCCGCAATCACACGCTGAGTTTAGCAGCTGAATGTTAAAGTCAACACTCAACAGTCATCGCCCAACGGCTGAAATTTAGCAAATTCGAGTTATTTTCATCCAGATGTGTATCAAATCTACTCGAATAGTTCAGACAAATCCAACTTTAGTCCGATGGTTGCTGAGAATCGTTGCTGAATTTTGCGCGTCACGCGCAAAATTCAGGCATCGGGCCGATGACTTCCACATTCAAGCCACATTCAGCTCCCACATTCAGCGCGTCATTGCGGCATATGATATTAACGTTTCCAGTTTGCATTGGTTCCGGGAAATTTGAAAAGCTCGCTCACAAGAGAAACAATACTCTACGTGGGTCAAATCGAGCACCAAAATAGTTTAGGCGAGCTTCTTAATTAAGCAGTGGTCCTTTCCTACCCTATGTTTTTTGAAGTTTATGTAATGTGAGCTGAAGCGTTAAGATTGAGGTTGTCATATACTAACACGGCAACGTTTAGTGAGCCATTCGACTCACGTAGAATTTTGGTTTTTATAAGCGCGAGATTTGAATTCACGCATCGAAAAACGTTAAATATCTTAGCTAGGAGTTAATTTTAGCAATTTTTGCTGTCCGGATCATGTTTTAAATGAAATTTTAAGGAGGAGGCACGTATCAGAATGCCTCAATTCTTACCTTGTTTAATGGTCCATCTTGGTGTAAATAAATCGCGATGGGGCATCTACTTTAATTTCTTCTTTTTTATTTATTTTTTCGTCAAACGATTGTACATTTTAAACCACGAAAAACAATTAGAAAAGCACCATCAATGAACCACAAATGGACGCATTTATGCTAAAAGGAACTATGTCACACGCAATCCCTTTGCACATGGTTCCTTTTAGCATACATACGTCCAAATATGCAGGCGTGCGCTCAACGACGCGACGCGACGCTACGCTGATATGCCACGCTACGCGACGCGGCGCGCGCGGTGATGCGACTTTCCCTAAGGCGCTGCCTACAACTATTCGTACTCGATGGATGCCCGTGTTGCATACGCACTTATTTGAAGGCGTTTTTACTTTCTCGAGCTCGCTCGCTCGTAACGCAAGAGTGACCCTTTGTGTGCCATGTTTATTTACAGGATGTCATCATCCTACGACTTTCTTTATCTTGAGCTTATCAGTCAGTGATGAATAACATTTCTATTCGTTTGCAACGGTTACTTATTTTTGAACGGGCGAGGGAAAATTACTGAAAATGTTATCTAATAACGATGGTCAGTTATATACTTACACACGCACGATTTTCGGTGAGGATTGAAATGAAGAAACTTGACGCCTTTAACCCGCATGATGAATCTAGATTTTGGATATAACCCTAAAGTCACGCTCGACACCTCCACGCGGTCCTCCTTTCCCTGGAAAAAAGGAGTAAGAAAATCATCAAATCAAAATAAACTATCGGGCATAAGGTTAACATTACCGTATCCATTGATCATTCATGCAAAGTTCAATCGTTTATTAATACACCTAAACCAAAACAGTCGTGCCAAGGAAAAGCGCCGTGCGAGTATTCCAATGTTGCCAAATTACCTCTCAGAAAAATTCATTTTTGAAAAAAATTATGAATATTTGGACTCCGTTTGGCAAAAAGGAGCCAAAGCACATTAGCTATTGCCAAAAACTTGGCAATTGAATTTTCTACAAGAGAACGTTTGCGCGGATTCCTTGGAAAATTTTAAGGGGTTTGCTTCGCACTATGCAAAACATTCATTGTAATTTGCACAAAAATCCGCACAAGCGTTTTCAGGTAAAAAATCAAATTGCCCGGCTAAATTCGGCAAGAACTGACGTGGCTTGATTCCTGTCAGCTTGAAGCGGTCCATTTCACCTTGAAATTTTCATACTTTTTAGATGAAATTACGAAAACAACTCTCTGGAAAATCGGAGGGGAAATATTTGAAAATACCTCCGAAAATTCGTGATTTGCCCGAGGAAATTCAGGAACGTCTAAAGACTCATGCTGCCTGCTTCCTCGGGAGGGCAGATTATTGCGGATCGGCAAATGGGATCTGGGTGCCGAAATATCCGAATCGGAAATTTGATTTATACACACGCTCATATGCACGGCTCGGTTTCTCCGCGGAAGAGAACTAGGTCAAGATCACAAGACACTCGGGAGCTCGCCGAGGCGGTGACATGGAATAGTTGGGCGTAGCGGAGCTAACATACGAGCATACTTAGGATGGTCAATATCCGAGCGGGAATGAGACGATGGTGGGATTGAATGCAGAAAATAATAAACGCTTCTTCTCCGGCATCCCTCCGTCTCCATCACATCCCTCCGTCTCCATCACATCCCTCCGTCTCCATCACATCCCTCCGTCTCCATCACCGTTGGCCTGTGCAGCGTCATTGAAAGGGATCCCGTTCGGGGTCACGGGAGCGGGGCGGCGCGCAGGCGCCTCGAGCACCGCCCTAAACCACCGGATCAGCATCTGACTCGGGAGCCACGGGGACGGGGGCTTCAGTGGCGCGACCCGACTCCGCTCAGTCGCCAGCCCTCCGCGCGAGCTCCTCCACGAGTCCTCCATAGGTTAGCTTCTCAGTCTGGCCCCTCGTGTCTCCCCGAAAATCCATTCCGAGTCCCCCGTGACCATAGTCTCCGTTGACGTTCCTCTCCGTGTTGTGCTCACCCCATCGATGCAGGATAACAATTGCTTCCTTTTTACACGGTGAGTTCACTCTTTCGCTCCCATGTTTACCTCCCACAAGTGATTCTTGTATGCACGTTAGGGAAACACTCTTATCTCGAAGGAATTTTAGAGTGAGTTTTCATTTTTGGATGATGTATAGGAGGTCCCCTTCGAGGGAGGATAACAATTGCTCGCTTTTTACATAGTGAGTATAGTGTTCGGCTCCGGTGTTTAGGTAAAAAATCATCAGGTTCAGGTCAGAAATCGTCTCAGGGAGGTTCCAGAGACGATTTTTACATGTACTATAGGGCCACACTCTTATCTCGAAGAAATTTGGGGAGTGAGTTATCATTTTTAGATGATGTACAGGAAATCCCCTTCGAGGGAGGATAACAATTGCTTCGATAGTGAGTTCAGTTTTGGCACTCCGATATTTAAATCCCACGGACAAATTTTGCATGTACGCTAGGGAAACACTGTTATTTTGAAGAAATTTGAGAGTAAATTATAATTTTTACATGATGCAGGGGAAACCCTCCCCAAGAGAGGATAACAATTGTTGGGTTTTTACATGATGCCTACAGTGTTTTGCTGCGATGTTTACCTCCCAGAGACGATTTCTGCCTGTACGTTGGGGAAATACTGTTATCTCGAAGAAATTTGGGAGTAAGTTATCATTTTTAGATGATGCACAGAAAATCCCCTTCGAAGGAGGATAATGATTGATTCCTTTTTATATGGAGAGTACAAAGTTTTGCGGCGGTGTTTACCTTATACAGAAGATTTTAGCATGTGGGTTAGAGTAACATCACTCCTTCAAATGAATTTGGAGTAATTATTACTTTTTATCTTTGGTATTTACCATTTACGGTGAGTCCTATCCAAAAGAGGATAACGAGTACTTTTTTACAATGCTTACTTGTAATAAGGCGTTTTTTCCATGTATGTTAGGGAAACAACTGTTCCTCTAAGAGATTTGGTATTCTCAATCATTATTTTTCAATTGGGTATTTATAATTGAACGTTGACATTATCGAACGGGGATTGCTCCGTCTTAACATGCGGCAAAGTATTACTTCAATATTTACCTCCCGCAGAGGAAGTTTTTGCACGGATTATATAGTACTCAGAGGCAAGTCGAAATAAAAAAGCGCTGCCTATCGGCTGAGCGCTTAAAAAAAAAAAAAATCCGCAGGATAATTCGTTCGCATGCGGATAAGAGCGCTCGAAAAAGTTGGCCGTCACAGCTAGACTCATCGAGATGAATGATCATACCAAAAAGTGCGTAAGTACCGCAAACGTACTCAAGTCGGCGTCGGTGTTGCCCAGGAATGCTTTGAAGTTGGAGGAAGTTTTTGTCTTCACCAGGTTGAAGTTTCTGGTGAATCGCGACAGCATCAGTTGGCAAGTTATAATTCTGTCCACTAGGGACCTCAGAACCGCCACTTTCGTTGTTTTGTGTATTTATTTATTTATTTTTTTAATATTTTTTTTGTTTACTGAAATGATGCATGTCATTTTTCGAAGGACATTAGCCAAGCTGTATATACTAGGCTCATTTGTTCCTTTTCCAAAGATGGTGGCAGGTGCTGCGTTTTTATTTCAAAAATCATGACCGTCACAAATAGCTGAAATTTGAATAGGGAAAACTGTATGAAAAAAATCGAAAAATTGGGACCACGTACGTTTTTAGGAACTGGAAACCGCCCGGAATTTAGGAAACACAACTTCCAGGGAAAATTATTAACTTGATTTTTCGACTCTTTCCACCCTGATATTTCCCCTTTTTGAAATTTTCTTCCAGATGAAGCATGATGATTCATTTTACTGCCAAGACCACTATAGAATTACAAAGCAAGGGTTATCCCAAAACCACAATCCTGAAATAATGCTACCACCATGATGTTGAAACTCAACAACTTCAGAAAATACATTTTTTAACAACTCAGGGAATCAACCCATTAGATATGTTACCATTCTTAAAGAATGAATGTGATATGAAATATATAGCCATCGAACGTCCGCCATTCAACAGCACAGTTTTGTCGAAAAGCGCCTCTGTAGAACTGCTAGTTAATAACGGACCTTTCAAACATATTCAGTCACATACTCTATTATATGTATTTTACATGTAACACGTAATTTATCTTTACATTTTAGATCCAAAATAAGAATTAAATGGACGTATTTATGCTAAAAGGAATTATGTTGCACGGAAACCCTATGCACATAGTTCCTTTTAGCATAAACACGTCCAAAAGGAGTGATTGGGCATCGTATTTCGCGGTTATCCTTGGATTTACAGATCTTCATATTTACGTATAAAAATGGCAAAGCTGGGCAAAAAGGTTTAATAGCTTTATTTACTCACTCTTGTTTGCTCTTCATCGGATGCTTTTAGAGCTGAAAAATATTTATGAGTGAAAGCCGAAACATAAAAGCCTCTCCCATCCCCAAATCGTCGGACCGCTCGACCCAAAGATCGAGGGTTTTTTTTTACAGTTTTAATAATAGACCGTAATTATGTCAGTCTTCCATTACCACATCATAAAATTTAAAAATATAGTCAAATCTGGGCACGTGTTTGCAGCTAGGGCAATTCTGAAGGGACAGAATAACCACCAGAGTGAGTGGCACTTTTTAAGTCAGTGTAGCTTTGCACAACATTCCTGGTTCAAAATTTTCTTAGAAGGTGGCGCTACATTACGTGAAGCTGAATGGAGGTACATTCTTGAATTCATTCGCAACCGCCATTCGGTGTTGATCATTCGAGCGGTGCGGTCGTGGTCGTGCTCTCGCCGGAGAAAAGCTAGTGAAAATTCGCGGATGCTTTGACTTTCGAATCGTGCGTAAACGGGCGAAGTCCACTCATCGCGGTCGGACAGCGCGCGCAAGGCGCGGATGCCGTGCATAACGGCGCGAAAACGTAAACAAGTGCGGTGATATCTTATGTCGAGTTCGCATCAAATATGCAAACACAATGTTGTTTGTTATTGGAAAGACAGTCGGTTCGTCGGCTGTGAAAAGTGCCTTGCCCGAGGAAGACTGGCTCTCCCCAGAGCGAGTCCGTTGAAAACTCAAACACCTACACCTACAGCGATGCCAAATGCTGAAAATATAAACCCGTTTCAGAAAAGTTCGATTCTTCCAAGATCGCCTCCTGGGGCATCAGGGGAAAATAAGCCCGAGAATAATGCTAAAGCTAGCGCACAACCCCTTCCGGACAGCGTTGGCGGTTCGAATAAAGGGGAGGTAGAGACAATTCTAACCACAGACCCTGAAAGTGTCAAGGGAGACCCTGCACTAAATGAGAAGACAAAATTGTTTATTTTGCAGTCGATTTCTGCTGTTAAGTCACTGCACGATGAAAACATCCTTGCAAAAAATTTTATCCAAGAGCAAAAGGCCCTCATGGATAAAATACAGGCCGAAATTAAGGAGCTTAAACTAAATAAGTCGCAACCTCAAGTGGCCGGCGGCTCTAAAAATAAGGGGAAGACATTCGTGACTGTCAACAAGGAAATTCCCCAACAAAACGGCGGGAAATTTGGAGCCCTGCTGCTAGATGCGGAAACGGATGATGATTTTTCATCAGGTGACTGGCCGAACTACAATTCAGATCCGGAGTATCAAGACCAACGAAGGACGGCGGCAAAGAAAGTTAAAAAAACTACAAAGAGGAAAAGGAAGCAGGATCAATCCAGCCCGGACTCCAAAGACGCCTCTGGAAGTGGAGCAGACGTCCAAGCTACACAGGATAAGTCGAATAACTCTAAGCCTGGCGATAAGTCTAATACCTCTAATCCTAATGATAGGTCCCCAAAAATTCTACCACCCCCTCCCATTAAAGTGGTAGGAATTAAAGATTATCAGGAAATTAAGCGACTTTTGAAAGAAGCGTCTGATAAAGAAGAGTATGTTTTAAAATTTTTAGGTAGTGAAACCTGGAAGGTAAATCCCTCTAACGACGAAACTTTCAGAAAAATCTCTGAAAAATTAAACGAAAGAGAAGTACAATGGTATTCTCACTCCAATAAAAACACTCGGAACATCAAAGTTGTATGCAAAGGTCTCCCCCCCTCCATACCTGAAGATGAAATTGTCTCGGATCTCCTTTCAAAAAATTTCAAAATTAAATCAGCCGTTTGCATGAGAAAAAGAGTAGAGAAACAACAGAAAAAAAATGAAAAAACAATTATGCCTATGGATACTGATCCTGAATCTGCTACCCCCCTTCAAACTACCCCTTCGGTAACAACATCTGAAAATCAAACTACAAATGCTAAACCTATCAAGGAATTCGAACTCATAAAAATACCAGTTCATCAACTTGATTTTGACCATTCAGAATCAATAGAAAACATCTATAAGATCAAAGCAATTGCTCATACTATTGTTCAAATAGAGCCAATGAAGATAGATAATAAGATAGTTCCACAGTGCCGAAGATGTCAGTGTTTTTCGCATACTCACAACTTTTGCAGAAAAAATCCACGATGTGTCAAATGCGCAGGCAAACATTTATCTCCTGAGTGTCCTTTTAAAGGTCGGATCTTAAATCCAAAATGCGTAAATTGTGGCGCGATTGGTCATCCCGCGAGTTATCGCGGATGTCCCTTCGCGAAAGAATTTCAAGTTGCACGAAAAAAGCAACTCCAAGCTAAGAAAAACTCCCCTGATCAAAAAAGTTTTCCGAAACTAGGGAAAAATATAACAACTCATGCTCCTCCAAAGAAATTAGATAGGACTTTTGCTCAAGCATTATCAGGCAATACAGCTAATCCGGCAACACAGGGCGCAGGAGACAGTTCTGCCGCTCTGATCGGTGTCTTATTACAAACAATAGAAACTTTGAATGCTCAGCTCAGAGTTCTCACCGAGAAAGTGAGTAAACTTGAAGCTAGCCAGAAAAGATAAACAAAGAAATGAATGACTTTTTTAAATTGAATTGTGATTCATTGACTAATCAGAATTTCTTAATGTCTCAACAGGAAAATTATCCAGAAATCAATTTCGATGATGTTAAAGAGCTACGAGCA